TGTCTCCTGGTGATTGGCCCTAAGTCACCCAGCTGCTTTCATGCCTAAGGTGGGACTAGAACTCATTGTCTCCTGGTGATTGGCCCTAAGTCACCCAGCTGCTTTCATGCCTAAGGTGGGACTAGAACTCATTGTCTCCTAGTGATTGGTCCTAAGTCACCCAGCTGCTTTCATGCCTAAGGTGGGACTAGAACTCATTGTCTCCTAGTGATTGGTCCTAAGTCACCCAGCTGCTTTCATGCCTAAGGTGGGACTAGAACTCATTGTCTCCTAGTGATTGGTCCTAAGTCACCCAGCTGCTTTCATGCCTAAGGTGGGACTAGAACTCATTGTCTCCTAGTGATTGGTCCTAAGTCACCCAGCTGCTTTCATGCCTAAGGTGGGACTCTCCCAGCCCGGTTTCATTACATACCTGTTCTCCTTTACTTCCTGGTAGTCCATCTGTCCCAGCAATGCCCTATACAGGAAAACAGAAATAATACATTTATCAAAAAGGAAAACAAGATTTTAGAGTCACTACGGTTGTTGGGCTAATGATGATTGATGTTAATTTTCTTCTGAATCAACCTCTGGTAGCTTCCTGGATATGCCGTGCAATTTTCTTGGCAGTATTAGGTCTCCCTTCATGTTCTCCTGAGATGTTCTTCTCAACTCACTATCCCTTTCAACTCACTAACCCTACATTCCTGGAATTTCCTAGTGGGTTTCCTATCCAATATTAACCTCAAGCCTGCTTAGCTTTGTAGGAAGTTAGCACCCACCCTTCTCCGAGAAGAATGAAATATTTTCAGAAATATTAAAAGGCAGAATATTATATTTCCCTGGATGAGAAATGGAGAAACATGTTTTTTTAGAGGGAGAAAGCAGCCCCCACTTTTCTTAATAGCCCTCAGCAGATGTCAGCATTTAAGAGACAAAGAGCTTATTGAGATCTAGGTAGCTCTATTCATAGACACAAATTCCCTGCAGAGAGGTCTGAACAAAGGTAGGGTTAGCCCTCAGCCACAGTAGGAATTGCCCCAAAAGGCCCTTCATTGCATCAGCCCAAACCTAAACCAAACCTAACTCAGATACACTCCTAGGATTTGTACATGGCACCTTGGGAGTCTGACAACAACCAATAGAATACATGTTCTTGTACAGGAACAGGAGGCTCAAGTGCAAAACCCAAGATAAGGTATAAATACAGCCCACTCCAACTCCATGTGGTCAGCTGCACCAGAATCACACGTCCTTGGTTGTTCTGCTTCATCAATAAATGGACCTTCTTCCCAGTCAGCTCTATTCTACATAACAAAGTTCTACCTCCTTCAGGCGGAGCCATAATAGGAATCCCAAAGTCTTTTCATTACAACATCACCCAGCAAGGCTCAACCAAGCTTGGGACTCGTGACAGCCTACAGAGTTGCCCCTGCATGGCCACATGGGAGTCTGACAACCAATCAGAATACAAGCTCAGGTTCAAAGCACAGACAGGGCATAAAAGCCAGGCGCCATCAGCATCTCTTCCCTTTTCTGCCCAGGACCTCAAACCATGTGGTCCTGTCCATTGTCAATAAACCTTCTTTCCAAGCAACTTCCATGAATCCAGTGTCTCCCCCCCCCCCCCTTGGAACTAAATCCAGATGGACATTTCTTCCAACAGGTGGTTTTTCCAAAAAGCAATGGAACTTTCTTGAT